AATAATAATAAAAAAAAAAAAAAAACAAATTAAACCATTTTCTCGTTCGATTCATTTAACTAAGAAAAATGGTGTTCGAACTTATCTCCAGCACTTCATCACTTTTTTTTATTATTATTATTGTTGCTATTGTATAAGTTTTTATATTCATATATGCGATCATGTTTTTTTTTTTTTTTTTTTTTTTTCTTCCTTCTCCTTTTTGAATAAGGAAAAATTCATTTGTTTTAAAGTTTTTTTGCAAAATTTTTTGCCTTCTTTTGAAGAAATTAAAATTTAAGTGCGATCAGAGATTCTGTGTGGACACTCTCATGTATATGTATGCATACAAATACATATATATATATATATATATATATATATATATATAAATATACTTATATATATAATAAGAGAAAAATACCGGAGGTAATCACTTTTCAAGAGGTATGTAATAGCTTACCTGCTGAATCGGTGTTTTGGCCGAGGGCCAACATAAGGCAAAGTACCATTACTAAGGATGGCGGTTGGTGGGTTTGCCTCAATTGCGCTTTCGTCCAAGACGAAATTCTTTTGGTTAAAGTGAAGCATTTAATTACAGTTGCTGGTAACATTTTCACTTGGTCCGCTTGCCTGTCGTTCGCCGCTTTCGCTCGTTAACAAATCAAGAGAACAATAAAAGAAAATGCAATTTTTTTTGCTATTCTTATGTTTACTGTCGTCTTTCGTTGCGATAACGCTCTAGTAAAAGTCGTTGTTGCTATTGTTGTTATTATTCTTGATATAGGCAGTATGGTCGTTACTATTGTTGTTTGTTCTCAGTTCACAAATGCCAGCAAAACGTTTGACGTTTAAACGAAAAACAAAAAAAAAAAACACAAAAACGCAACAATAACAACAAATGCTCTGAGAAGTATGTTATAATAATGATAATGATGACAATGATGATGATGATGATGATGATGATGATGATGATGATGATAATGACGAAGTTCAAATTATTTTGTACTTGTTGTACTCGTCACTCGTCACAACAAGTCGTCGTATACTATGTCAATGAGTTGAGTTGGCTTAGAATGGAGTGAATCAAGCATCAAACCATTGCATGGAAGTAATTAAAATCGCAAAAATTATTATGACCAGTCAACCAGAGACAGACATCTGTAATAGTAGTAACCTGCACACTCAGTCGCTTAAGCATCCATCTACATATATATATTTATATATATATATATATGAATATATATATGTATATTTGTGCAAAATCTATTCAACTGTGTGTGTATGGCGTTGTTCTTTTGTTTCTTCCTTCTAATTTTTATTATTATTATTATTATTATTATTATTATAATTGTTATTGTTATAATTGTTGTTGTTTGTCAGCTTTTGTGAGTTGTTGCTCAATGACACTTAAGACACTTAAATTAACGGTCTTTTAAATTTTTTGCAATTTTGCACATAAACAAACGCACGCATCAATGCAAATTTTCCAGACTTGTCTGCTTTCAATAGTTTGTGGATGTGAATGCATGCATGCATGCATCTATATATGACTTTACAAATACATATATATATATATATGTATGTATTGAAATATGAAATGTAGCACGTATGCACGAGCATCAAAATAACACACTAGTTTAAATTGTTTCTATGTATGCCTGGGGCTGAGTATGAATTAACAACAAACACACAAATAATGGAAGGCATTCGCACTTCCTCAGTGTTTATAGATTAGAGATGTGGCGTAGATGCTTCTTAAAGACTGTTAGGGGGATTACACATACATCTATGAGTACTACCTATGTAAACATAAACATAAAACTGACAACATTAAAATAATTAATTTTGCATCCGAATTTAGGAAAACCGTTACGCAGATGAAAATAGATTTATGAAAAGAGCAAATAATATAAAGCGAGGAAGAAGAAATAAATATCTCTTCTTTCCATTTCTCTTTCCCTTTTTTTTTTTTTGTTTTTGTTTTATTTCGATCATTCAATTAGTGAATGTATGACTGACTGACTATTGAAGTTTAATTTGTTTTCTATGTAAAATGCTATGCGCTTTTGACTTGCTACACATTTTTTCATTTAACTTGCTTCAGGCATTCTGCACACACACACACACACACACAAACACACACATGTATATATATGTATCTATGTTTGTCTCTCTAGGGTATATGTATATGTATGTATATATTAAAATAGATATAAATGTGTGCGTAAATGTATCTAAACAAACGGATGTTGTACTGTGTGTATGTGAATCTTCTTTTTATTTACATACGTATATACGTATATATATATATATATATATATATATATATATAGATATAAGTAAAGCTTATTGTTATTGTTATATTCTAACTTAATGTATTAGTTTCTTTGTTTCTTTTCTTTTTTTTTTTTGTTTATTGGTTTTCGTTTTCCTTTTTTTTTTTTTTTTTTTTTGTCTTTAAAGAATTTGCGATTTCAAAGTTTTCTTTATTTCCTCCTCACGATCTGATCTATTTAACTTTAAGAATACTTTAACCGACTTTGGCACAAACACACGTACACACGTAACGAAGCTACGCTAAACAATATCCGTTAGAGATGTATAAAACCGATCGAAAAGTTTGGTTTGAAGCGCGAATGCTGAATGAGTGTTTGCCGCCCAGAGACTTGTAGTTTTATATGCCAGTGAAAGGCTGCGGTGAACTATCTGAGCAGTTGAAGTTGTTCGCTTATGCGGAGCCAAAACCGAAACCATACCAAACCATACAATAAACAATAAGTAAAACAACAAAAACAGCATAAACAACAACAACTACGACGACAACGACAACGATAATAATAACAACAAACAGCAACAGCAACAGTAACAACAACAACAACAATAATAATAATAATAATAATAACACAGAACAACAACAGTAACAATGAATGATAATTTTTTTAGACACGAGTGTTACAAATACATAAACGCATACATACAAATATGCTTCAACATCATCTAACTTGTTTTTTTTTTTTTTTTTTTTTTTTTTTTTAAAAAAGTTATTTAAAAATTTTTTGGTTAGTTTTCGCCACAAAACCCAAAAACAAAAATAAAAAAAAAAAAAAAAAAAATAAACGCCAAACCAAGCATAAATCTCTTACGTTTGGCTGGGATTCAAACAAATCAACGTTGTTTTAATGCCTGAAATTATATGAAAGCTTTCATTATGGATTATAGTGACAAAGTTGGCAGGAGTAGTAAAATTTTTCATTAACTTTTGTGCGCTGTTTTCTTTTGAAATGCATAAAATATGAAAATTTCCATTTAAAATAGTCGTAGAAAATAAGAAACAACACCAATTTTTAACCATTTGTGGTTATAGCCTTGTAAACATCAATGAATACTTGATATAATAGACAATGTTTTCTTTTTAGTTCGTTCGTTTTGCCAAAAACAGTTGATACAAGATATTGAAAACTTTTACCTTAAAGGGTATTTATTAATGGAAAATTTGAATACGATAAACAGATCAATGATCAGATCAAATACAACAATAACGGTAATCGATTGATAATCGATGAAATCATTGAAAAAATTGTTAATAACTAATGGTATCATATCTGGCCAAAACTGCCGATAATCATAAATGTATGGAATTTGTCATTTTATTTATTTACACATTTGCCTGAGTGGCCGAGTAGGCAAGAGTCTCGACTAGTAACTCAATGGTCGTGACTTCAAATCTCAAGTGCGGTAGAGTTTTTAATAAAGCCTTAGATGCTCTAGTGCTTTAAGACTTTAGTCTTAGAATTAATTCTCTGGCTAAATTTATATTTATATTAATAATAACAATAATAATAATAATAATAATAATAATATTTGTTTACAGTATACCTAACCCAACTAGATGTTACGGATATATTCATTTTCATTCAAAAGGTTTGCATTATCCGCCAGAGAAAGTTTCAGAGAACATATATTATTATGTGTATGTGTATATTCTTGATTAGTGTATCCGTCCGTCTGTCCAAATCCACATAATGCATATAAAGTTGGTAAAAATTTTTCATGTCCGTCCAATTATATCAACTATTGAAATTTCATTTTTTGTTTTGTTTTTCGTAAAATAATTTATGATAAGATAAATAATGCGGCGAGTGTAAAAAGTTCGGTCAATGTCGAATGTAATTTACTTACTCTGTTACTTTAATTTTTTCGTCTTATATGAAAAGCATATAATGCCTCTACTCTTTGATTCTCTTCTAACCCGTTGCAAGCAATGAAATGCAATTACGTTCTATATGATTGTATATATTGTCAGGGAAATTGTCCAAAAACTTCGTATTATATATATATATTGATCATGATAAACGATAAATATTCGCTTGCGATTTACTATAAATGGATTAAAAAAAAACACGACAACAAAGTATGACTGCACAAATACATTCCTATATATATGCTACATATTTTCTCGTTTTATCTAAGTAAATAAGAAAAGGGCACGCAATTTTAGCTAAGCTCAACTCAGAAGTTTCAAATTAACACTGATTTTTAAGGAGATTTTCCTCCGCAAAGTCAGCTTAATATCCGATTTATATTGTCTAAGACCGGAATGAACAGTTAGTTCATTCGCGATTCATAACTGCCTGAGTTAAAGCTGTAAGAAGGTACACTTGCATTTATATTATGTGTGTGATGTAGTGCACTTTAATTAACACACATATTTGCATATTGCATGCAATTATTATAATTTTGCTTGTCTGTTATATGCCGACATAAAATTAGACATATAAAAAGCATTGATAGCATTGAAATGACTAGGAAAGCCGAGAGCGCTTTATTGCTTTACTATCTTACAGAAATGTATTTATATTTGATTGCAAAGTTAGAAGACGATTTTCATTTACACCTCATTCGGCTGGTGAGCAGATTTAATCTGTTCATTTGCCTTATTCGGGTTAAGCTATTACATATATGTGAAATGGAAAAACGAAAAAGGCAAACTATCGATAAAATACAGTCAACAGTACCATCAAGTTTGGATTGGCAAGCATAGCCGGAACCCAATTTAATATCTGATACATATGATGGTTATAGGTTTTTGTTTTACTCTATCTCGCCTGCTCTCGACCTCTCGCTAACCATCCCTTCCTTCTTGGCATCATGTTATGAGGGCTGATTAACTTTTTCAGTCCCTTGTTCTCCTTGTAACAGTGATCCTTGATCCTGTATTAGTGATTCTTGATTAGTCGCTATCACGGACATTTAATCGATATGTTCATCCATTACCGCTTAATACAATGTCGCTTAATACAATGTTGAGTTAAGAACATATTAAATAAACTGATGTTACTAGAAGTAGCGTAAGCGTTGCGAAAATCCATGAAGAACGCAATCGATAAAAAAACGATACAATTTTCTCAATGCTGAGCACCAAATAGACTGAATGCTCAACTTAATTGTGTTGCACAATATCGAACTTTCCTTTATAAACCTGATGAGCTTAACTCTCGGAAAAGAAAAACCAAAGCACTTTCTGCGTTCTATGGAACGGAGACAGTTTGCTTGCTATGTAGATCCCTATGTAGATCGAAGGTTGACGGTGTACGAGTAGTCTCAGTTTGATTTGGAGCAACGCGGTATAAACATCGTTTGACACATAGACGTGAAACAGACAATAGAAAGCCGTCAGATAATAATCATCGTACTAATAAATATCGAAGAAGAATTTATGATCGCTAACAATGCATGAAAATGATGAGTGAGTAAGAACAGTTAAAAATAGTAAACATTGTTGAAACATATTTTTGTCAATTGGCGACAACGTTTTTTCTTTGTCCGAACAAACAAAAAAAAAAGAAAGTAAATCTGTCTTGCATTGGAGATGAAAAATGGATGTATTTTGAGAGCTCCAAG